CATGCATGCAGAGAAAACCAAAACCATTAATAATGACAACAAACTATCTACTAGCATAACAAAAAGCACCCTTATTTATGCCGCAAACCACGTCCTATTAAATTGAGAAACCCAAGCTGTGACCCTTAGACATGCCAAAATCATCAAAATCCATGATAACAAAACGTCATACCTCTTTGCTTGCAAGAAGTAGCAAAACCCACAATTAACCATCACGCAAATTGTCAATCTCTACCTTGCCGACACCATAATCTAACCCCATCTCAACAACTTAGATAGAAGGAAGAAACAACGCACTCCAATTTAAATAAACGGAAAACTAATCACACAATCACTTGCACCAGATGCCCTTCTCACGATAGAAGCTGACAAAAGAGTCATCAGAGAACAAAAGTCATATAAAAAAAAAATCTCCACTGACAAAAGAAAGAAAAGCTCCCATAAGAAAACTCCAGGGGAGGAAATAAAACATTACGTGAGTTTTTCCACTCTTTCAATTTTTTTCTTGACATATTTTAGCAATGTTTAAATGTTAAAAATTTGGGTAAAATATTCAATTTTTTTAAATTATTATTTCTCTCTTGTGCATTAAATAGGAGAAATATACACAATTAAATACAAAATTTATAGAAAGTTTCATTATTTACGTGCGGGTTATTTTATAGTATGTACAAAACAACATTGTGAACTCGAGGGCAACAGTATACATGGCATATGGCAATCGATGAATTTTTTATGAATATTCAGGTCAATTCCTGTTATTTTACAAAGATGTGACCCAACCTTTCAATCATTTAATAGTAGAGATGAATGTTTATTGTAATGCAAATAAACCAGATGAATACCCATATAATGGAATGGCCACGTGATCGCTTGATCAATTACAGAATTGTTTAATCAATAATATATATTTTTCTTGAGTTTTGAGCTTTCCTTTTTATATATTAAAACAGAGTATGATTGATCATCATTGCTGAAATGTTTCAATTGATTGAGGAATCCTTTAGGTGGATTTGAGAAATTGTGGCGTTTCCAATTTAATTTGACTCCTAGCACTGACTTGTTTGTGTGGAGCACTTGCATCTATTAATCAATTCCATGTATATGTATGCATAATTAGCTCGAGCGACCAAAATGTCTATTTGTATTTAAAAAAAATCATGTAACTTTTTATGTTTATAAAAAAGGACCCTCAAAAATTGAGTTTAATAACTAACATAAAATAAAAATAAATGACTCATAAACTCAAGGCTTAAAGTTTTAATTTTAAGTTAGATATGGTTTTATTCTAATGCTTTATCACCCTTCTTTCCTCTTTCTATATTTTCGGGTAGTGACTGCCCATATAGCATTTGAAAATTTCAAGAGTTAAAATTGGAGGGATCAGGCATTTTATTTTTTTTTTAATTTTAAACACTATTCATTCGTACCGGTGGACATTATGAGATGGACAAGCAAACTATTTGAGGCATTAACCCTAAAATGATTGATCTAACAAACTTTCAAACCCTCTCATAGATGAATTACAAGTGTGTCTAATGATTAATTAATACGTACCGTCTGCTGTCGCTTTTACAATTAGTTGAAAAGCAGGCCTTGACATTTCAGGGTGATTCTTTGCTTGGCCCGGCTTAAAAGAATTGAAGAAACAAAATCACAAAACCAAATAATTTAAGAGACTGCTTTACACGTGGAATATAATTTATATTACTGTTTATAGAGCCCTAGCATAATCCACAACGTGCCGAGAGTACTGAAATCTTCTTAATTATTCCCTCCGTTTCAAAATATATGTTTTTTTATGTTTTTTAGGAAAAAAAAATTGTTTCATTTTATAAGTTCTTTTAGAGGTTCGCAACAATTTTTACTAACATTTTTTCCATAATATGTTCTTATTTACCCTACCAATTTCAAGGAGCATTTATTAAGTTTTATGGACAAATTCCACAATGTAGTCAATATTTCTATAATTGTATTTTTTTTAATTTGCATGCAGAAGCATTAAAAAAAACATAGATTTTGAAATATTGTTCCAGTTTATAAGATATTTTTTGAAACAATTATATATATTAATAAAGTTCACTAAATTACTTTACAATCTTATTTTTTAAAGACATGAATACAAATTTTTAAAGATACCTTTCACTAGATAAAGAAAGAGAAAATGTAATAAGAAGTTAAACGTAATATCAAAATAAGAGTAATTAATTTTTTTATTGAAATAAATAAACAGGAACGAAGGGAGTACAACGCAATAAACTGTTTCATACGAGTTGATGGGGTGGGACTATCCTACCGTATATTGATTTCAAAATGTGGTAATAAAGGAAATAGCCGTTAATGTATAGGACCACATCTTCGAGTCGTCTTCTCAAGAACAATCTGCAGCAATTTTGCTTCCGTACTCTTCCTTATCTCCAGAACGAAGCAGGAGGGAAGAAGCTGTGCTGAGAGAAATAGATTATGATAATCAGTACTGTCTCATTATGATTCAGAGTCAATTAATATCGAAGCTTGCCATCGTACAAACCTAACGTTTAATACTTTAATTAATTTTCTTACTTTCTGTTCTAGTTGAATCATTCGAATGAATATTCTGGCCTCAATATACTGTTTATATAGTGTTAACTGCACGGTCATGTCAAGTATAGTTGAATCATTAATGTGTGTGTGTGTGTGTGTATTCATTCTGGATCTCAATTATACTATATATATACTATTTTGTTTTTAAATTTTATAGACCAGTGATCTTGATAGTGTCACTTTAGCTTATGATGATATATATATATATATATATATATAACTCATCATTAGTAATTAATCAAGTAATATGATAAATAGCACGCAGAATGCATGTGATATCGGTATTTGATTCCTGCAACCATACGGGATCACTCATAGTAATAAAATAATTTAGGTCCCGTTTGAGTATTATAGAAGAATGAAATTGAATGTATTGAATAAAAATAATATAATCAAACTCCAAAATAAATAGATGACCACATTCATAAGAGATATGGATAATTTAATTCATAGAGTTAGGAATTGTGATTTATAAAATTTTTAAATAGTGTGATGATTTTCACACAAGAAGATGATTTAAAGTCTATTTGTTTTCTTTTTTTTTAAAATATTATTTTTTATTTTTGAAAACAGAAAAATTTTAAAACCTATTTGGATAAGTGTTTTTCACTTAATTGTTTTCAAAATTTTTTATTTTTTGTTTTTAAAAACAAAAAAATAGAAACAAGTTTAAGTTGTTTTTATTTTATTTTTGTTGCTTAATTTCTATTATTAATCACCAAAGTGCCTATAACTATTATTATCAGTCCATTTTTTAATCATGAAAATATTTTGTATTAATTGACTCTTTTTTTTTTGAAAAATAATTTTAAAAACTGTATTATAAAACAGTTTTTAAAAGCAATAAATGAAGATAGAAACCAAACAGACCCTTAATTTATTTTTATGTTGATTTCTATTAATCATTTCTATTCATTTCTAATAACTAAACAAGACCTTAGAGTATTTTACCTGTCAAATACAAAGAAAGGCAAAAATAATTCTATTTTAATTCAAAAAAATTGAAAAATATTTTGATTGAGAATTAATTAAATAAAAGAGTAAATATAAAAATTAGTCGATGGGAGAAATCCAATCATTGAATCGTCAGGGAATAAGAATTCACCCTACCGGTTATTAATTTCTACACATGGCGATACCGCTCAGTGTATAACGGATATCTAAGAAACAAATATCACAACAATAATGATAGGCCATTTTGTGCATTTGAAGCTGTTGTGCTCGTTATTATCTGAGGAGCAAACACTTAAAAATTAATCTAGATGCATGTTTCCTTCAAAAATTCAATTAATGATCATCACAACATTCATCATGTGCAATGCCTCCGAAAATTTGAGATTTGATATTTTTTGAGTATTATATAACAAAATTTTTAAAATTGAATGATTGTTATGATATCATGTGAGGCATTCATTGAATGGGTGGATTTGTGCCACCCACTAGATCTAAATCCATGCATACATGATTGATTTATTTTAATATTAAGAAAGTATATGTGATATTTCTTTTGTTGAAAATGTGATTATTTTTCCATTTAACTTTCGTGCTTGCATGAAATCTGAAATAAATTTAATTACATCATTGTTCATAGCTTATGATTAGCATGACTTTTTATAAACTTTATACTCAATTATTATTAATTTTACACTTGATTTATATGATATTTGATACTTAATGATTGATCTTTCCTAAGCCCTGGGAATCATAATATATACTGAAGAAAGAAGCATGTGAGGAGGAGAGTGATGATCATGAAATGGCTCAAAACGCAAACACCATGTGATGTTGCGGTACTGAGAGACAACGTACGTTGGATCTCGGATCACGACACATTTCCTCTCATTCCAATGAAACATTATCGTTTCAGACCGTATGCCACTCAGCCTCCACACTTTCTGGAACACACATGATTTTGTTTATTTTTATTACCAAATGACCCCACAAACTGACAACTTGATGTTGAGGTTTCGTTTCATTTGGTCTTCAGCTGCAGCTAACTTTCAAGGTGGCCTAGAGAGAAAGTTAGATTGAAGGGAAGAACCACCCGTTGCTCATTATTCATTATTAGAAAGGCCGTTGGGTTTTGTTTTATTCCCATTTTTCATTTATTTAATCATAATTTCCTTGCAATCGTACAAGCATAATACCGTTTATTTAATTCGTGTAATTCTATGATTTCCCAAAAATTCTGCAGTCAGAAACAAGTAGATGGTCCCTCTCGCGGCACATGCAAATTGCAAACAAACTAATTAAATTCTGGGTCCATTAAAAGAGAATTTAGCAATTGGCAGTAGTGTAGATTTCCGAAGCTTTAGTTTTCAAGGATTTAAAGGAATAGCTCTTGTATTACATATCAACATGTGTAGCCAAGCATATCACACACGCACGCACACACGTATATATTACTATATAATACACACTGAGGAACAAGTGGTCACAAGCCCAAAAAGCCAGCAGAGCGAGTCTACTTTGTCCTCATCCCTCTCTCACTAGCTATCTTCACATAGAGAGAGAAAGAGAGAATGGGAAGGAGTCCTTGCTGCGCTAAGGAAGGCTTGAATAGAGGAGCATGGACAGCTATAGAAGACAAGGTTCTCATCGACTACATTAAGATTCATGGCGAAGGAAAATGGAGAGACCTTCCCAAAAGAGCAGGTTTGATACTTTTATATATATATATATATGTACGTATATGTAAGTCTGTGTGCGTCTGGATCAAGTATTGGGAAATTATTGAAGGTGTTAGTACTTGTTTGTGAATTCATTTATTTGGAATTATTCAGGTTCATCTGGAATCACGGATACAGACACGAGCACACATCTGAATCATGAGTTCTATTATGATATGCAGGTCTTAAGAGATGTGGGAAGAGTTGTAGGCTGAGATGGTTAAATTATCTGAGGCCTGATATCAAAAGAGGAAATATTACTCGCGACGAAGAGGATCTCATTATCAGACTTCACAAACTTCTTGGAAACAGGTTCGTCCTTTACTTTTCTCATGAATCTGTTTTGGATTGCACCATCGTATAATTCCGATCCATCTTGTGTTTTCAAGTTGCATACACAATGTGAAAAATTAATATTTAAAACCTATATACTACCGGCATCAGAGGACATTAATAAGGAGAAGAGAGAAGATGGAGACTAAATCGATAATACGCCAAGCCCTCAAGTCAACAAGAAAGAAATACGAGATAGTGACGTTTGAAAAAAAATAAAATAATAAAATAAGCCAAGCATGCATCATTCAAAAAAGTTAATCACTACGTGCAGTAAATCTAGTGACATCTATAAGTGGAATTATCATCTGCACTAGTATAAAATTTTAATATCAGTTGAGTCTTTTCATCAAATAATTGTATTAGTTTTATGATAAAATCTTAAAGACTATCATTTAATATATTAAAGTCACCTTGAACGACTTAAAATCAAATATAATTATGGAGTGTTTTAATTAACGAGAGCAACCTCATCAGTAATTGCTATATTATATACACCCACACAATAATGACTTGAGAGTATGTGTTATGATATATATATATATATAGGTGGTCTTTAATAGCTGGACGACTGCCAGGACGAACAGACAATGAAATAAAGAATTATTGGAACACAAACATCGGAAAGAAGATTCAAAATGGAAGCTCAAAAACAAAATCGTCCCCTACTACTTCAAGAGGTGATTTACGTAGCTCGCCAAGCCTAGCCATACATGACAAGGGCACAGACTTGGACTCGGACCCAAAAGCCCCACAAAAAACCAAGACCGGTCAATTCGTGGTTCGAACAAAAGCAACAAGGTGCACCAAAGTGATAGTGAGCAAACAAGTCCAACCATTCATGGCCGCACCACCTTGTTTGACCAGTACTCGCGATGATGAGGACGTGAACGTTAGGTGTGAGCGTGAGAAAATAATGGAAGCAGCATTACCATCTTTTGTGGATTCGGAGGGAAATAATACAGACAACTCGTTAGATTTCATGGCGAATTTTGAGATGGACGAGGGCTTCTTTTCGGATCTTCTGAATATGGATATATCCGAACCGTCTTGTTTAATTGAGAATAATAAAGTGGGAGTGCAAGAAGACATCAGTAACGCCAGCACCAGTGAACAAGGTTGTCATCAATATTTGTCTTCTCCATTATCTAATGACACCCACTTGAATAATGTTTCTGATGATTCGCTGCATGAGTCTGAGGATTTTCAATCGATGTCAGCTTTAATGGAGAATGAATTTGATTGGCTTTGAGAGAACCTGTAAAGCTAGCACATGTGTACTCTTGCCCTCTTGCAGAGCTGTAAATTTTCGATAATAAAAAGTAGTAGTTTTATCGCGCCGAGGTGGTTAGATTGCTTTACACAAAATTGAAAATTGTATATATAAACAGCCATTGTTGATGAGATATTAAAAATACTCACTCCCTTTAAAATTAGAAGGTTTTTTAACTGAATTAAATTCACCAATAAATTAACTAATTGTCTTTAAATTGATATCATCTTTTTATGTTTACTTTATTTAATAGGGTATTTCACTTAAGGATAAAAGATTGAGTGATTTATTTGTTAAAAGTATTTTTGCAAAAAAAAAAAGTCTCATTAATTATATGTTAAAAATTTTTAAAAAAATTATATTTTTAAACATATCTAACAAAAAAATACTTTATAATTTAGCATACATTTGGTTCTTTGATTTTACACAATGCTTCATTTTAGCTTTTTAATTTTATAAAGTGTTTTTCTAATCTTTTAACCTTAAAATCATTAGTTTTATGACAAAAAATTGACACTAAACTTTACAATAACAATGATTATCACAAAAAATAAACATTTGCAACTAACATTTTTAGGGGTAGAGGGTTGAAAAGATACTTTATAAAATTAAGAAATTAAATTAAAATTTCATATAAAATTAAAGGATAAAAATAAAATTTAATCAAAATATTTAAAATAGACTCCAGCTTAGTAACGGGGGCCACGTGTGTAAGTAAGGGGGTATATTAGGCGGCATATTGGGATATGCCCCACAATCAAAGAAAATTACATATGAAGAATATAAGTTTTTATATTTTTGGCAGCATTCTTTTTCATATATTGCATCCCGGCCCTTATCTTGATATTTTAAATTTTAAACCTATTTAAATTCTAAATGATAATAAGTTAAAAGCTATACAATTATTACTTACTTTTTAGATCATGAAATTATTTTTTAGTAATTAATATTTAAATAAATTAGTTGCCCGAACTCAACGTCCTGGATCTGCCACTGCTCCAACTCCATGGACTTTTTGAACGTGGGAACACTTCTACTTGTCAACAATAATGCTATGGAATAATTTACCATTTTAGCCTTCTTTCTAGTTGGCCGAGTAATTGAATTTCTGATTGCCATTACATAGTGGAGCATGCTGAAGCAAGGAAAATGATGTTGAAAAGGGACTAATACCTAAAGTTATAATTGTTTTCCTTTCAAGTCATGCACGGAGTTCATATGTAAATAAAAGAAACTTAAAATTAACTATAAAAAAAATTATTGAACCTGCATGATGGGATGGTGGTTTTTAATTTCTTTTATTTAAATTAGATAATGAGAGACCTGGGTATTGTACTGAACTGAGTTCATATAAAAAATTGTTAGATAGATTCTTGATTTAATTATTAATAGTGCATATTTTCTATAAAATTTTGTGTGTGTGTTCATGTAGAGAGTACGCTAAGTTACATGATCTTTTAAAAATATTTTTTATATATGTAGCAATTTAATTGAGAGATATCTACTATTTGTTCTCAATATTTTGAAAAAGATAAACTTCATTATTCATAGAACCTACTCGTTATATGCGTTAAAAAAAAAAAACTAATTTCGGACATTGAGGGAGTTTTAATTCTTTTTTCACCTTTTCGCATGCTTGCTAAACCGCGGTCAGTTACGTCACGGAATATGGTATATATGTTTGTTGTTCCATTATCATACTTTAGGAGTAAAACTACAGGTTCGTCCTATAACTTAAGATTAAATATTTATTTTTATAATAAATGAATAAAATCACAATATTATAGTTTGTGAAAAGATTATTTATATAAAAATTAAATTATAATCAACTTAAGTTGGTTGGTAAAGCAATTTCGTTCCTTAAGTAAGTGATTGAAAATTTAAACTTCTATGTATATATAATAATCTAGTTACTTAGGAAGGATTTACTTTTTACATACTCCACTCAATATTTTATACTCTTCCATTTTTAAATATAAGGTATTTTTAATTGAATCTCACCCTTCAATAAAGTAGTTACCTACTTTTAAACTAATCCTATTTTTTCATATTTATCCTTATTAAACATCGTACAATAAATACAAAATCATTCATCAATAAAGATATTCTTAAAAAAGGCAATTATTACACCTCAGAAGATTAAAAAATATCTTTTTAATATCTAACTTTTTAAAAAATATCTTATATTTTTTAACGAATGGAGTATTTGTTATTGCTAAAATAAGTATTCCCTTCATTCAAAAATGTAAGGTATTTTTAAGAAGTTAAATGTTCAAAGTGTAAGGCATTTTTAATCTTTCGAGGTGTAATCATTGCTTTTTTTAAAAGTGCCCCTATTGATAGTGACTTTATATTTATTATAGGGTGTTTAAGAGAAATAAATATAAAAATATAAAGTTAGTTTGAAAATAAATAACTACTTTATTGATATGTTAGATTCAGTTAAAAATGTCTTATATTTTTAAATGAAAAGAGTGTAATCTTTTACACTTCGAAAGATCTATATCTCCTTCAATTAAAAAATATAAAATATTTATAATTAAATCTTATCTCTTAATAAAGTCATTACTTGTATTTAAATTAACACTATTTTTTTATATTTATTTTTATTTAATAAAATATTTTATTTTTAAAATAAATATAAAATGATAAAGAGGCTCATCTGCAGGCGGCTAGTTTACTTGCCGTGTTATTAAATATCCCTTCAATCAAATCAAAAGCATGTGAACATGTATGTTAAAATCAAACAACTTTACAAGAAAGTCTGTTAATTAAATTTTTTATTTTTTGGGCCAGACTTGTTGATTAAAAGTCGATCCTATCAGAACGTCAAAGTTAATATTCAAATTAGCTAGCTAAATTCGAGGTCAGTAAAAAGAAGAAGGGGAAAAAAAAAGCTACCTAGCTAAAACCACACATCTTATCTTAATCCTCATAAACAAGATTAACTCCTGACGTTTCATTAAATTTTTTTTTCAAGTTAGAATATTAGTTATATATGTATAAAATTAATTGAATAAAAAAAATTATCTTTGTTTAAAAATATAAAATATTTTTTAAAAGGTTAAATGTTTAAAAATATAGGACATTTTTAATCTTTTAAAATATAATCATTATTTTTTTTTAAATATCTCTATTAAATAAATTAGTTTATATTTATTTTAGGGTAAAATATTTTATTAAATAAAGATAAATATAAAAAATAGAATTAATTTAAAAATAAATAATTATGTTATTAGTGGATGAAATTTGATTAAAAATTGAGGGAGTCCTAGTTTACAACGGTAATTGAAGTTAATGACGTAACTGTCAGTTTTATACTTCACTATCAGGGAAAACGATTTTCATGTGGGGACAAAAAGGGAAAACGATATCTTCATAATTACTATAGGCAAGCGACAAAAGCAATGGCTGAAAAACCGAACGATTGGACCCTCAGTCGATCACGTTAATGGCTCGATCAAGCCAAAATAATCATTGAGAGAATTAGATCAGATTAGTTTACTTTGAACTGAAGATTAAATCGAAAACTAAGATCAAGCCAAAAATTAAGTTAGATTTTTAAAAATTAAACTGTTTAAAGAAACTTTTTTTTAATTTTTTTTATTAATTTTTTAAAAATAATTAATTTTTTAAATTATTTAATATTATATTGTATCATATTACTTATTAAATTATGATAAATTTAAAATAATTATTTTTATTTTTAAGTTAAGTAGTAATTTTATATTTATTTTTTGTATATAAATTATTATTATTATACATATATATTTTAAATTAATTATTATATGACTTAACTATTGATTGGACCATGGCGATCGTAAACAGCTAATCTTTTCCATTCAGTATTCAGTCCAATGGAACAAAAGCCGTTCGGTCATTCCATTTACCTTTACGTGTTTGACTTTGTCCGTTAGGTGGTTGCTGTACTAACACAGAGGTAGCTAGACGGGAACTTTGATCACGTGCCATTACCGAGATTCTATATTTGACTGTAAATTATCGTGAGACAACAGCGTCGATGTCACTACACTAAGCTCTTCGAAATATTTTAAAATCTTTGTTCAAGGGTTAATTTTTTTTTTTGAACAAATTCTTTAAGGGTTAATTAATAGGGAGAATTTTAATTAAAAATTAAAGATTTAACTTTATTATTAAGAGGTTTTAAAATATCTAAATTTAAAATTTAATTTAAGATGATTGAAGTGAAAATAATTTTAACAATAAAAAAATTAAAATACTCTTCACTTATTAATTTTATCCAAAATGCAAAATTATTAATTGTTAATTTTATTACTTTACCTATTAATTTATTAATATAAGTTATAATTTATACAACTTGACCTATAGTTTGTTAGATAATCAGCAACATTTATCATTTATTAATTTACTAACTTTACCTATTAATTTACTAATATTATTTGTAAATTACTGATAGGTCTTGTAATTTACAAATAATATTAATAAATTAACATGTAAAGTTAATAAATTAACAACTAATGTTGTCATTTGTCTGATAAATAGATTGAACAACTAATGTTCGAGTAATGTTCAAGTTTTGTATGATCACTAACAAGTCAAGCCATGTAACTTACAATTTATATTAATAAATTAATAGGTGAAATAAAAAAAATTAATAATTATTAATTGTACATCGAAGAAAAAAATTAATAAATGAAGGATACTTTAATTTTTTTTATCGTTAAAATTATTTTCACTTCAATTTTTTTGAACTGAATTGAAGTTTTAAAATTTTTTGGGACTCATTAACAATTAGGTTACATGTTTGGTTCTTAATTAAAATTCTTCCTAATTAACATGTTAGCTTAAGTTGCATTTAATTTTTTAAAGAAAAATAAAAAACTTGTTCAATTTGTGCATATATACTTTTACACATATCAAATCCAATGGAGCCTGGGGTGTGCATCAACGCTATAACCCGATGAACCCAATTCAACCTAAAGGAAAATAGCCTAGTCTAATCCGGTGAAATTGAACCCGATGAAAAGAATGACCAAATTAGATTGGGCTGATCAATCGAGTTAGACTGGGTTCTAAAATGATCCTT